TCGTCCGCCGGCTCCTCGTCCTCCGACGACGAGTTCGAAGACGACCTGCTCGACCTGCACCCCAGCTCAAACTTTGAGAGCATGTCCCTGGGCAGCTTCAGCTCGTCGTCGGCGCTGGACCGGGACCTGGACTTCAACTTCGAGCCCGGCTCCGGCTCGCACTTCGAGTTCCCGGACTACTGCACGCCCGAGGTGAGCGAGATGATCTCGGGAGACTGGCTGGAGTCCAGCATCTCCAACCTGGTCTTCACCTACTAGGGCGCGCGGCCGGCAGCGGAGGCCGGGCCGGAGCGGAGGAGAGGAAGACGAGAGAGCGAGGAAGGGAGGAACGGATGAAGAGTTGAAAGAGAAAAGGGAAACAAAAAAAGAAAAAAAAGAAAAAAAGGAAAAGGAAAAAAAAAAAGTGGGCAGGGCTGGCTTGGCGCGTCCCCGCCGTCGGAGAGGACCGCGCGCCCATCCCCCGCCGCGGCCGGGGCCGAGAGGCGGAGGGGACCGGGCGACCCTTTGTTGTTGTTAGTGATGTTGTTGTCGATGGCGAAAAAGCGACTGCGATTGCTCCCCGGCCGGAGCGCCCCCTCCGCCGCCGCGCGCCCGGGACTCGTCCGCGCCCCTCGCCCCTGGAGGAGCCCAGTGGTTTCCAGAACTGGAGAAGCCGCCCCCTGGCCTCGCCGCCCAGCCGTTTCTAGGGGGCTTCCTTCTGCACCTTGGGCAGAAGAAAGGAGGAAAAGAAAACTGCAGGGACCCCCCTCCCCTTTTAATTTTCTTAAATTTTTAAAAATTTTTTTTAAATGCCTGGTGAAGACCGGAGGCTCCAGGGTGGTGCATTTGGCCGATGGCAGATGTTCGGGGGAGCGCAGGGACTGAGGCTCCACGCTGGCGAATTCCTGTTTGGCTTTTTTTTTTTTTTTTTTTTCCCCCCCCTTTTTTTTTTTTTTTTTTTTTTTTTTTTTTTTTTTTTTTTTTTTTTGAGAGATAGAGCTCACCAGACAGACAGAGAGTGAGAGGTCACCCCCAGGGGGATGGCCATGCAGCAATCCTCTCTCCTTCAGTCTCCTCTTGGGATTTGCCCGGCCTCCCGGTCCAGCGTCCTCACTGCGGGGTGAGGCTCGGCGCAGCCCGAGGCCGGAGGACGGGACTGTGTGCCGGGGTGGATGGCGAGTGGTTTCGGGGAAAAAAAAAGGTTTTTTTCTTCTCTTAATCGGAATCGTGATGGTGTTGGATTCTTTCACTGGTGGGGTTAATATAGCATGTGATCCTGTCTATCTTTTCAAGATTTCTGTATGAGACTGTTGAGCAGTTTTTAAAATAGTGTAGGATAATATCGAAAGCAGATAGGTGGCGCTATGTTTGATTCCTACAACGAATTATCACCAGCTTTTTTTCATTCTTAACTCTTTAAAGGATTCAAACGCAACTCAAATCTGTGCTGGACTTTGAAAAAAGACAAACAATTCAGGACCAAATTTTTTCTCAGTGTGTATGTGTTTATTCCTTGTAGGTGTAAATGAGAGGACGTGTTTTTTTCCCTCACCGATGCTCCATCCTCGGATTTTTTTTTCCTTGTAAATGTAATCAGATGCCATTTTATATGTGGACGTATTTATACTGGCCAAACGTCTTTTGTTTTTTGTTTTGTTTTGTTTTGTTTTTCCCCTGATTTTGTCCCTCTTTTTTTCCCCGTTCTTTTGCTTTCTTTTCCTTTTATTATTTTTTTATTCCTTTATTCCTTCCTTCCTTGTTCCCCCCTTTTGTTTTTGTTTTGTTGTTTTTTTAGTTTAGTGTTTTTATTTTTAATCTTTTTGGTAGTTGTTGTTACCCACGCCATTTTACGTCTCCTTCACTGAAGGGCTAGAGTTTTAACTTTTAATTTTTTATATTTAAATGTAGACTTTTGACACTTTTAAAAACAAAGACAAGAGAGATGAAAACGTTTGATTATTTTCTCAGTGTATTTTTGTAAAAAATATATAAAGGGGGTGTTAATCGGTGTAAATTGCTGTTTGGATTTCCTGATTTTATAATAGGCGGCTGGTTAATATCTCACACAGTTTAAAAAATCAGCCCCTGATTGCTCCATGTTTACACTTCAATCTGCAGGCTTCTTAAAGTGACAGCATCCCTTCCCTTGCACCAGTGTCCACCCTTCACCCCCTGCCTTGTGAAAGGGGGAGGGGACTTAGCCAAACACTGTATACTTTTAAGAAAAACACATTTTTAAACGGAATCCTGTTCTGTCCAGAGGCTTTAAAACTGGGGCATTTACAGCAAAAAGGGATCCTGTAGCTTTAACTTGTAAACCACATCTTTTTTGCACTTTTTTTATAAGCAAAAACGTGCCGTTTAAACCACTGGATCTATCTAAATGCCGATTTGAGTTCGCGACACTATGTACCTGCGTTTTTCATTCTTGTATTTGACTATTTAATCCTTTCTACTTGTCGCTAAATATAATTGTTTTAGTCTTATGGCATGGTGATAGCATATGTGTTCAGGTTTATAGCTGTTGTGTTTAAAGATTGAAAAAGAAGTGGAAAACATCTTTGTACATTTAAGTCTGTATTATAATAAGCAAAAAGATTGTGTGTATGTATGTTTAATATAACATGACAGGCACTAGGACGCCTGCCTTTTTAAGGCAGTTCCGTTAAAGGGTTTTTGTTTTTAAACTTTCTTTTGCTATCCATCTTGTGCAATATGCCGTGTAGAATATTTGTCTTAAAATTCAAGGCCACAAAAACAATGTTTGGGGGAAAAAATAAGAAAAAAATGTCATGCCAGCTAATCATGTCAAGTTCACTGCCTGTCAGATTGTTGATATATACCTTCTGTAAATAACTTTTTTTGAGAAGGAAATAAAATCAGCTGGAACTGAACCCTACACCTCGACTTTTGTCCTGATTTGTGCAGGAGGCCTGCCCCGCGGTGACAGACCAGGTCTCACACCAGGTTCTCTTCATCCCATGGAGGAATGAGAAGTTCCTCTTGGCCAGACCCAGCAGGCCCTGACCCTGAAACGGCGTCAGCTGGATGTGTATCAACTGCACACGCTTTCTAGGAATTTTCTGAGGTCACCACGTTTAAATAAACGCCCGTGTCCTGAAATGTTAAGCGGGGGGACAGACCTGGATGGAATCGTGGCTGAGGACCCTGGCTGGCTGAGCCTGTCTTTTGAACTCAGTGCACCTGACAGTTTTATCTGCTCTGCACAGGCCCACCCTCCAGCAGTGGCTAGGACTGTCTTCCATTGGTTCAGAAACAAATAAGTCCCTTCATTTTATCAGGAGATTGCAGGGGAGAAGCCCTTTGCCAATTATGAAATGCAAAAAGGTGGATACCTTTTTTTCTCTTTAAGGCTGAAAGGTTGACTGTGATGTGAAAATCTGCATTTCGCACCAGGCTCAGCCTGGCTATCAGTTAAGGTGGAGCAGCAGACTGGCTGATGGTTGGAGAGGAAAGCTCCCCTCGCCCCCTCCATCTGCCTGATATTTCAGCTCCTGGAGGTGGATGTTCTTTTACACACACCAGTTACTGACCTATTATTGAGTCCGTCTACGAGGGGGAAAGTGCCCTGCATTTCCTAAGGCCCATTTCCTGTTTATTCTGGAAGTTAATAAATTCCCATTAACAAGAGCCATCTTCACTTCCGAAGGGCTGTTCATTAAAAATGTATTTGATGTGTCTCCTAGTTTGTCAGCACTGACAAGGAAGGGTCAATAGGCAGAAGCCTTGAAATCTTGCCTTAATCCTCTGGCTTGCCTGTAGGTAAGGGAGGATCCTTCATCTTCATGGAAGAGATTTTGGGGGAGCAGTCCAAAACTAGCAATATTTCTGCTCAACAAAATGCAGTGATCCCAGCAGGTGGCATAGTGGTTAGGGTACTAGACTCATATGGCTGACCACAGTTCGAGTCCCAGACCTGGTGGCTTGTTTTCTCACTTTCTCTATCTCCTCTCTCTCTCTCTCTCTGGTCGAATTAAAGAATGATAATAATATATAAAATTAAATAATTATTTTTAAAAATGCAGTGATATCCTCAGAATAATATAAGTATTGTGTTTCAGTAGAGTTTAATCTCTTAAAAGCTAGGTAGTAATTTTCAAATTTTGTCGTGTATGCAGCTAATATGTTGGGTTTTATGTGATCTGCCTTTGTAATACCCCCCTTTTTAAAAAAAGACCACGAGACAACATGGCACCCTAAGTTTCTTCAGAGATCTGTGCAAAAATGTAGAAGGACTCTTCTACAGCGACGTGCTTAACTTTAATTCGTGTTCATCGTAGCGGTGATAATGTGGCCGTGGAGGTTCTTTTGGATCTGAAGAAACAAAACTTTGACATCAGTGAAGCTTGTATATGATGCATTTTTAGAAATTTCATAACTTTAAGAATGTATAATTTCGTTTAGTATTGTTACTTAATTTGTTCTAAGACACATGCACTCGCCAAAGAGAGACAGAGTAAGAGAGGGAAAGTGAGAAAGCAAGCCACCAGGTTCCAGGACTCGAACTGCAATTGACCATGTGGGAGTCCAGTGCTCCAACTACCACACCACCTGCCACTCCCTCCCTTCCCCCCAAAAGAAGACGAATAACTTTGAAAGTATATTTTGTAGGGTTCTCCAGTTAAGAGTTACGTTGTTTCCCCTTGACTTTGCATGTGAGAACCGTTGTCTTAATTATTTTCTTTAAGAATTATGGTAATATGGGGACCAGCAGTTGGCATAATGTCTGTGTTACTGGACTCCCATGTGGTTGACCATGGTACGAATCCCAGATCCAGTGGCTTAAACTCATGCTGGGCGCATGTGCATGTGTGCCCAAGATCCTGAGGAGACAATAGAGAAGGGATTGCAGTGTGGCCCTCCCCCTTGAGGGGTGATTTCTTGCTTTCTGTCTCTCTGTCTCTGTCTTTCTGGCAAGCACACGTGCCTGTAGCATAAGCCTCTCAAAATAAATAAATAAATAAATAAATAAAATTAAAAAAAAAGAAAGAGAAAAGAAAAAAGAATTATGGTAACATGACTTTAAAAGTAAAAGTTTCAGGGTGTGTGTCCTTCCTAGCAGGTAGAAGTTAAGGTGCGAGACCTCCTGTCCTCTTGCCTTTCCTGGATCTGTGGATCAGAGCCCTTCATCGCTCATTTCAAACAGTTTAGGGACCACAGGGACGTACGTGGGAAGGAGCGCATCTCCACAAAACACGATCCTAGGGATGCACATCCATCCCCCTTTGGATTTCTGCAGGTGACAGTTGGTTGCTTTATTTTTCTTTCTGGTGGTTTTTGTTTGTGCCTTTTTAATTTTTGTCTTCCTTTGAGGCCTGTGAAATATCTCTTTGACTCATATTCACTAACGTTCAGCTCTGGCCCTCGGATTCATTCTGGAAAATTACCTCTGTGAATTTCTAGAGTTCAGTCTGTCATTGAAAGCTGCAGTGAGGAGTGCGGAAGGGGCACTCTCTCCACCCTCCCTGCCCCGGCACCTGTGTGCTGTTTCAGACTCAGCCAGGTATCTTTCTCAACCCCCCTTTGCCCAGGGGAAAGTGCTATTCACGACCCTGCCCAATGTGGCTTTAGCACATCTTTCAAGTTCTCCAAAATAACCAAACCTGTCTCCCATCCGCTGGAGTGCTTAGAGGGCAGAAGCTAGGCCTTGCATGTTTCTGGTATCCCCACATGGATCATCCAGGCAGACATCTTAGCTGCTGTAAGCCCCAGCATTCTAAACCACCACGTAGAGAGAATGCCGTCTGACCGACAGCGGTTGGGAGAGCTGACTGAGGCGGTACTTGTGGGTGACATGTAATGCCCCACCTCCCATCTGGGCTCATTAATGCAAGTTCCTTGCCTGCGGGCCGCCATAAACAGGCATGCACGTGCAAGTGCAAGCCTTGCGCTCTGCCAGCAACCTGGAAGTCACCACTTTATTTTTTTTAAGGTTTCT